CCCGCAGAGCGGGGTCGGCGGATCAGCAGCCCGAGAGCCTGCGAGCCAATAAGAAAAGTTGGGACATAGTACTCACTCATAATTGGGTTTATAATCCCTCACTTAGAAGTACTCACTAAGTTCCATGATCCTCCAAGTATCCGTCTGGAAGGTTGCATCACACCACAAGAGCCGAGCCTCCGCATTGTTATCACAACCGCTGCCATGCTAGCAAGGCTCTTTATGTGGAGCATCTACAGCCATGCAGTACTCGCTGTTACCGGCCTTGCAAGCTTAACGTAGCGAAGTTAAGTGTTCGAACTTTGTACGTGCGGCGTTTTTTCCGTCAGAGGCTCACGGGGGTCGCCGCGACATCGCACCCACAGTGACCGGCAGGCAAGAGACTTTGTCCAGCATGCTGTCATAACAGTCTCGAACTGGGGATTGACAGGCTAGAAGGATTGAAGCACATCGACCATCGGAGAGGTTTCAACTAGTAAATGCTTCTAAATTAGAGCTGGATCCTTAAATGGCTTCGTAGAACATTGGCATCTTTTCTTGGCTGACCATGGAGGCATCAACAGGCTAAAGGCAGCAGTCAAAGCAGACTTTCAGCTAAGTACTCAGTGATAACGCCGGCCTGAGAATCAGCATTGGTGTCAACGTGATTCTTACCATCAGAACGGTATTTCCATCACTATAGCTGGCATCCTGACTGGCATCAGATGTTTTTTTTGCACCGATGTTTGCCTGTAGCTTGTAGACCCATACTTTCTTCTGCGTTGGCTGTCGCTGTGGCGAGGATATGGTCAGGAAATCAGTGATAAAAGGGTGCAGTCAGCTATTGTACCTGCTTTGATCTCAAAGGTTGATCCGCGATAAATGCTCCTGCAGCAATGAAGCCACCTGGGAGCCTGTTGGGTCCTGAATGCGAAGCCCCTACACCCTAAACCCTAAACTAGGTCCTCAACCCTAAACCCCTAACCCCCAAACCCCCTCAACACCTTCCAGAGCCAAAGTCCCTCTCAGCCTTCAAGCCCTCAAGATGGACTCTTTTGCTCGGATTTTTCTGTCTGCGCCGCCCGGACGGCTTTGGACTTTTGCAGGCATTTGGGGCCCGAAGGAAAGCAGCAGCTTTCGAACAGATGAGACATCAACGTAGACGCAACCGGTTGAGCATGTAAGCAGATGTATGCCAATGTCAATGTACGTGTGTTCGGTTCAGGGAAGGGTGTGTAGCTTTGACCCGGCATGCAGCTGTGAGACTTCTTCCTATTCCCGGACGTCCCCATGGCGTCTGAGCATTTTTGTGGATAACAGCAACGAAGAGGCCGGGAGGACTGTTCGTCAGCCTAGCCTCAGACGGTGGAGAGAGGCACCACTAACTTAGCTGTGCTTAGCAGGGAATGAGAGTGTTGACCTGGTTATGAAATTGGTATACATTGATCATTCCCTCAGCCACCCTGCTAGCTACATCTAAGTACGGGTTAGCTACAGCTAAAACTTAAACTTTTACGGAAAAATGAGCTATATACAGGGCAGATGTGTATGTTATCCCTGGTATATGTATATATATATATATTTCTATGGATCATTCCCTCAGCCAAGATAGGCATGGCTGGGAAGAGGCAGAAGGTGATGGATGCTTCCCTCAGCTGCGAAGCCTTCGGCTGGGCGACCCTCGGCGTGCTGGCCTTCGGCCTGCTGCTGGCCATGGCGCCTTGGGCTGGGAATTGCCAGGGCTTCGGGTTTAGGGTTTAGGGTTTAGGGTTTAGGGTTTAGGGCGCTTTGGGCTGGAACTGCCAGGTGATCATGGGGTGTTGGGTGGGTGCAAACGGTGGTTGATCCAGTTGTATATACATGTTTATAAAGGATGGATCCATTTCTAGAAGTGTTTATCCATGTTTGTAATGAATTGTTTTCAAAACTAGTTCTGCAATTAATGGGTTCATGGTGCTTAAGCCATCTTCATCCAACTTTCAATAATGGTCATACAGTTAAGTGGCTCATGGGGATTGACCTTCATCATGATGTAACTTTTTGGTGGTTGGTTTATCCAGCCTTTTTGATCAAAACTGATGGATGGACCGTGATAAGCCGCCATGAGAGGCCCCATCATTGGATAAAGATGATTCGATTTATGATTGGGTTTCAAGTACCGCGATATAGTTACTTGGACGATGGTGGTTTACTTCCGGTGTTTATCATGTTGGAGTTATTAAGTCTGTCAAATTTGATATGTGATGGTTTTCACATATCATTGAATGATTGGTTAATGGTGGTTTATCCATCCTGACCCATTACATTGGTCTTCAGTTTTCCCCTATACAAGGCATCATGACAATGTGCTACTGTAAATCATCAGTTGTGTCTATCAATGACCATAGAAATGGTTTGCAGAATTGGATTTTTAGTTCAGTGGTAAACAATAAATATGTTTCTGACATTTTTTAGATGTTTTTCTAGTTTATGCTGGGTTTCAATGCAGTTTACCCAGTGGCCAGTGGTTGATGGGTTGCTGACAGTTGGCTACAGAGTGTGAACCCTACGATGCTTGACTGGCTGGATAATCATCCCCTTTGTCTCTCGGATATGTTTGGTCATGGTGATTAGCATCCACCAACCAAATGATCATGATACCAATCTTTATGTTCTATACATGTACATATATACATATATGTATATACATACACAGATTCAATATTGTCTAATCAATATCATGCCATTATCATACCATAATCAAATAACTGGTGTCATGCCATGATAATACCAACCAGTGAGCTTCCTACAAACGGTATGTCAAACGGCCAATGGCTGATGGCTTGTAGCTTCTGGCACCCTTGCGCTGCACGTCATTTGAGGCAGCTGCCGTGCTACAAGATCTCAACGACCCCAGCAACGCGCCACATGAGGACGTGGGGTTCAGGGGCCTTGCATTTGCCAAGGGTGGGTGGCAGTGATTAGTGTGATAATGTGACTTTAATGATTGTCCAATGATTACTTTATAACTGTTTATGCTCACGAATTGCCCATCATGGCAAGAATCACAGATTCATAGTCAATGCTAGCGAGGCCCATGTGATAATTCATGTTCGACGCTTGTTTGACCAGAAAGGTATCAGGCTCTGAAACGGCTTTGAGTCTTGAGCCATACGTTCATACCATTTGACAATGATGTTGACAGTTCAGTAGTTCGACTCACATTTTTGTTTGAACTATGACTTGCATTGAAATTCTCAGCATTGTCAGTGAGTTTATTGCAGATTTCTTATATTTTGGGGTGCTTGACCGGGTCAAGGTTTTGGGCCAACCCAATCGTTAGTGTTTGCCCCTATCAAATGATATTGACGATTGCAAACCATTGCAAGCCATAACCATGGTTCAAAACTAACCATTGTTCATCAACCAGGATTGAAGATTGGCCAATGCTAACTGAGCGAATTTTATGGGCTGCCAACTGTCCAGCGCGGGCGAAGCATGATTGACCAAAATGTTCACGAAAATCTGTTTCCGACTCAGAATAGTTCTGTTGGATCCAGGATGCATCCACTGGTTATCCAGGATGCACCCACTGGTTTGAAACTAATTTGCTTGGGTTTTGATTCCGATAAATGCTCGTGGACATATGAGCATTTCTTCGTGCCAGCCAGCTTAACCAGAGTGGACCATCGAACTTAGGATGGTCTATGAGGAGCAGACAGGAACCAGCAATTGTGCACGTTGTTGTGCAACGGCCACTGGTTTATGTGTCATTGCGATGACTCTTTTGTATCAAAAGTTGCACTTGCCTATACGTATGCATGTATGTATATACATAGTCATATATACGCATACATATAATCATATATCAACACCGTGCATGCAGGTGTATAGATGCACATGTCACGTGTATAAACGATGGTTTTACTCTATGAGTCAAGATCATCAATCATACCCTATCTTGACTTCATCCGAAATTTCAACCACTTCTTCAACCGCTATTCACCACCCTCACTGCAGAATGTCACCACGCCCATCCCAGCCTCCAGCCGTGCACAGCAGGACCTATGCCTAAGCCCCTGGGATCCGCAGCGCATGTCCTACGCAGAGTACGGCCACCTTCGGGCCTCCGCCCAGTGCGCGTGGCGGCGGCTGCTGCACCGTTGAGGCCGTGGCGAAGTGGCGCTGGCGACGGGGTGGAGGGCATCGCTAGGGATGTAGCAATGGTTGGTTGGTAAGTCACAAAACCAACATCTGAGAAGGGGTTTACTACTTGGAGGGGGGTTATTGATCCTAATTGGGCATCAAATGATTGAATTGTTTTCCATGTAATTTTCAGGTGCACAGCTTGAGTCTCTGTGATGATGTCTTCGCAGATGAGAAAATGGACTCGGAGGTTCTCTTCCACCTGATGGTGCTGGATTGCGATATGTTGGATTTGAGCATAACGACTGGCATAGTACCGCCAGAAGATCGTGATCGTCAACACGCGGAGCTGCGCCTGTACAAAGAGCTTGTCGACCTACTGGCCCAGGTTCTCCGAAGCCTGGAGCACAGCAACTGGGACGCCGAAAAGTAGGTTCAATTCTTCACACTCTGCCGGTACCAGTCGTTCTGCTCCTGCAGTTTGCAAGATTTGATGAAAGTTTACGATTCAATGGATGCAGCTCGGAGGCAGCGCGTTACCTTCAGCAGGTTGATGGCCCGCATCTATTTCTGTTTCCAAGGCCCCCAGTTTTGAGGAAGACGCCAGCCTGCAGCTGCATATTCAAGAAATGCAAGCACTGCTCCCTGATCATCAACGGAGAGTGGAAAAATCAAAGAAGCCGGCAGGGAGCTTCGGCACTTTGCCCAAGATGTCAGGGAACTGAATCAAGAGGAGGGTTGCGTCTTCACCCGCATAGAGATCCGCCTTTTAGCACAGGACTGCAGGCGCCGTTGCCTTGTGGGCGAAAAACTGAAACCCGGACTGACGGAGGCGGCTCGTTTTTTGGATGAAGCTGCAGGTCTGCTGGAGATGACGGCCGAACACGTTGGCTAGCAAGCGAAAGGGTGTGTCCAAGCCCCCACGTTGAGTCAGAAGGCTTTGATGATGCGCGCTGGCGGCTCCTCACTGCAAGGTGATGGCTTCGTTGGATCACGCAGGCAGCCCGCTGGACAGCCCGCAAGAAGACCTTGCCAGAGCAGCATCGCTGAAGCGGAAGCCTTTGCGTTCCAGACCTGTCATGGCGAAAACAGTGCGCGTGCCCAAAAGGATTGGCTGCTACATGAGGAAGATTGAATCGCAGAGTTTGCAGGTTGTGGATTGTGGGCTGGCACAATGCCACCTTTCCGGGCTCTAGACATCCAGATTTGCAAGCCTCAGCTGTGAAGGTAGCTGTTTCTTTGGAGAGCTGGAGACTTGAAGGCGTCTGAAATTCAATTTCAAGAGCATGGACACTGTCTCCAGAGGAGAGCGGCATGGTGCTTTGCAAGCAGGGCTACAGGGGTAGGCTTGAAATATCATTTTGACGTTTATTATCCTGCATCCTTACATGATCCCCATAGAGCCATAACATTGATTTCTATACGACCCCCGAACCTACCTCAAGCTACCTGAATCCGCTGCTGCAGTTGTCGAAAGTCACCAGCGACCGGAACCTGCCGCCTGCTCCGCCAGCGACTTGTGTGACTGGGATAGCACTTGGACTGCTGGGTTTTGTTTCTGATTTCCCACTAAGCGGCCAGCGAATTTCGTAAGCAGGTTACACATGGACATATGTTAGCCCCAATTGGAATACTTCCCAAGTCCCCTGGGCCTCTGAGCAGTTCAACGTTTGCCATGGGCGACTGCTAATGCTTCTTTAGGATGTGACCCCAGCAATGTAAAATCAAATGAGCTACTGTGAATATTAGGCTTACCAGGGGACCATAAAGGGTGATTGTAGGGGTCCTTTTTAGTTTAGTATACTCCCTAATATATTCCCTTTTAAGTACCCATCTCCTTTAATCATAAGGGAAATATTGACTGCTCAAAGGGAAAAGCAAGAGTTCTCTTCTTGAAGCCGTTCCAGCTAGGAACTAGCTAATCTCCTCATATTGAATTCTAAGGTTTTCTCCCTCTACCGGGCTTGAAGCCAAGCCAAAGGTCCTCCCCAAACCCACGCCAGGAGCCTTTCGAGAAGTACAGCTTCTTTGCGCAGCTAGGCCGAGATGTGCAGGAAATGAGCGTGGGATATCCAGCACTCTTTCTGTCTTACTGGGTGAAAAACTCCCTGTAAGCCGCAGGGCCATGCCCTCCGCACTTTAGCAATCAGGGTTGGGATCGTTTGGCGAGTGGCAAGAGCTTTGGCAAAGTGAATGCTTTGGATTTAGGCCAGCGGTATGTTTCAGCGTTCTGGTTAACAACGCCGGCAGAATTGGGACATCCTAGAACCACGGCAATAATTCATTAGACCGCAGGACTTGATTGTTTGGGCAGAGGTTTATCTGAAGCGAAGAGCGCTTCTTGCTTCAAAGCAGCGTGGAGGATGTTGAGGTCCGTGTTCTGGCACTCGTTGAGACTGTACTGGGGGGAACACCTCTATGATGCTGCCAATGTCTGCTCAGCATCTTGTGTCTCTGTGTTCCAAAAGCTGCTTTGGTTAGCCTCGGCTCCTCGACGCTGTGCTAATGCACCCGGTGGCTTCAAATGAATGTCCCGCTGATGGGTATTCCTCAATATCAGGACATCATAATGATCATTGAGCTAAACATGCACTTGAACTAATGCCGAGAAGAAGGCATCGGTTTCTCTTTGGAGCTGGGCATAGCTCAAAGGAATCCTTAAAGAGTTTAGGGTTCAGTGTCTGGGGTTTAGGTGCTGGTGTCCTGATCTTGATGCATGCCGCCTCGCCTCCTGGAGAAGCGAAGAGCGCTCCGGCAGCAGAGGTCCCAGGAGCTCGCATGGGCCACATAGAAAACCAATATTCGGAGACCCCGCAGGATGCTTGTCACTGGAGACCCAGGCTTCATGCTCCATCCCTTCGCATGCATAGAAGCCCAAGGCACTTAGTAAGTTGATTATAGAAAAGGGGTTTTATGAGTCCGCTAATTGGGGTCGGCATCCTTGGGTCCCTTCATGAGCTAATTACTATTAAGTCTGTTTTTTGGATGACATCTGCGCTTGTCAGCTTGGAGCATATTCAGGATTAAACGAGTTTTAGGCAATTATCAGGCTGCTACAGGGTCCCTTCAAGCAGATGTTGGGTAAAGGGCTTAAGACCCCTAAGTCCCTGAATAGGGTGCTAATTGGGGCCGGTCTCTAAGGTTCATGCGTTGGCCGTAGTTGAACCTGCTGAGGTTCTCAACAGCAACTCAAGAGTCATGTAGCCTGCCTTCAGGAATATTCAAAGAGTGAGGTTGGCCTTATCAAGTTGAACAGTGTTACACATTTCGCGGTCAAGATAGCATCGCAGCGCAAGGGATCTAGCATGATACTACGCTTGTGTGATGAGAAGCCTACCCTCATGTACTCAGTCGGACAACATGAATGCTACACAGCATCCTACATAAGATTATCTCGTAGTTCCGATCCAGCTCAATAGCCTGACTTGACAGTGCTAAGCAAGCATGGCTGATGAAGATGTCGAGATGCAGGCGGCTGGCGTCGTTCTGATGCCGTGACACGACATGGAGAAATGCTAGCTGGGATCTTCCCTGGAATAGTTTTCAGTTGTCATGTACCGTGGTTCTTGTATAATCCTATATTACGCAGAAGAAGTGGGCCCCTAAATCTATCCCAGCTAGAGCATATATGCAGAAGGTAAACAGATCACTGGCTATGGGGAGGTTGCCACACCATCTTTCAGTCCGCCCATTGGTGGTGACTTTGACTGCCAACGAGCACAGTAGAAGGTTTGAACATGATGGTGTCAATAGTTTGCCGGGTAAAGTGCTGATTCCGCAGTACCAGGGTATTCTGCGAATATTTTTAAGTACTATGGGCCGCAATCCCATATAGCCTTATGTAAACCATTCGACTTTTTTTTTGTATAGGGCCCCTAAATTCATCCCTGTAGACCCTTGGAATCTGATCTGACCAGGCAGTTGCACCCGGCGAGTCAATCGGAGAAGCACAGGCCTTGAAGTCTCTGATCTTTGAGTCATCATGAGTCTCGAGTTTTGCAATGGCTTTGAACTCTGGGTGGCACTTCATCCTGTAACTATTGGTCAATCCCCTAGCGCCCCATTAGTTTCTAGGCCCTAGAGGGCCTACGTGGAATATGCGGCAGGACCTTCTTGCAGGCCGTGGCACTTACACAGAGCCTTGGCTTACTCGAGGGAGTCTTTTGTATCAGGTCTGCACGGGTACTCGTGAACGCTAGTCTGGGGCACTGCCAGGAATAGTTTCATGACTAGTATGGACCATAACCCAGATAGAATGATATAACCTTATACAGCCCATACTGCCATAAGAATTAAATCTTTACAGCACCCCTAAATCTATCCCTGTGGAAGACAAAGGAGCGAGGCAAAGTCTATGCCTCCCTGGCCGGGCAGCTGAGGCAGCTGGTCTCTTGTCACACCATGAAGGAATGGATCCTTACAGTAGCCTTACTGTATATAATCTCCAACTAGATAGTAGTTTCCACCTATTTTTCATTCCCTCATGCCCTCCTATTCACAGGTAAGTAAAAACTCAAGCCCTAAATCCTAAACCCGGTTTCCACGTCATTTGTGAACACCGACCTGCGTCCGCCTCGGCATGGGGTCTCGCAGGGAGGCTCATGGCCAGTTCGCAACTTGCCATGGTGCGGGGCAGAAGAGGAGGGAGAGACTAGAGTTGGATCTTACTGGGAACGGTTTTTAATGAGTATGGACCGTAATTAATCCCTATATAACCCGTGAGATCTTATCTTATGGACCGTAATTAATCCCTATATAACCCGTGAGATCTTATCTTTTAGGATCCTTGAATCTATGCCAGTAGACTGGAGGACAGGTGAAGGTGGTAGGTAGGGTGGGGTGCGAGTAGTCCCCAGTACAACCAGAAGCTCATACCAGAACCAGATGGCCCATATCATCACTAAGCAGAACATTTCATCTTAAGGTATGATTCCTGAGGCTTTTCAAGATGACCCCCCCTCAATCCCCCATATTCGCCCCTAGAGAAACCTCACAACCTGTATCTGAAGCCCATGCTTTGAGGTTCGTGGGACCCAATGGGTGATTTGCTTATTACTGCCTTGCCTGCGATCCCCTTAGATTCCAGCTCCAGATATCACTTTAGTTACTAATTTCTACGTCGTGGGTTGGGAGGGGGTTGCTGTTTCTTGGTGCAATTTTTTTGTAAGATTTTGGGCTCAGAGTTTGAGGCTTTACCGTGCGGGGCGAAAGGAAAGATCTTTCATCGGCAGGCAATACCCTGCTCCGAGAAAGAGTAAGGATGCTTGGATGGCAGGATGATGCGGGGGACGGGGTTTTCTCAACGTTTGGTGAGCTTGGTGGCGGGACTGGCTCTGGCCTTGACGCCCTCAACGTGCGGGAAGAACGCACTCCCCTCCAAGACCGGGCGGGTTCGAGGCAGAAGGTTGGCGGGTAATTTTCTGAATTTTGTAGTGTTTGAGGAGAGGACGGGAAGCGAAACACAGATCCTGGTCTGTTTGTTTCAGACGCCTGTTGGCCAGAGGCTGACGCGAATTTCAAAGTGGAGTGCCAACTCATGCAGTCCGTAGATAAGCCCTGATCTTTTGTTTTCTTGGGGCGAACCCTGTCCGATGATGATGCCTATCACTACAACGTCACAGAATCGGCAAAGGCTGAATGCCTAGCGAACTTGGTTTGTAGTGCAGAGATCATCAGTCCTGTTCGCGCCTGAAGTGGCCGCATATTTCCATGCTGTGGCCGTGACAAAGCAGTTTTGCCTTGCAAAAGATTTGTGCTCAGAAAATCTATACAACTGTGCTTGCCGCAATGTGACATGTGCAGCAAGTGGCCCTGCAGACAACAACTGAAGCCCTGCAGAGGTATCTGGAAGGTGCCTCCGTCGAGGTTGTCTCAGCTGCAAGCCTTCTGTCCTTCCCTGTCCCTGAGGCCCGTTTCGTTCTCTGAGCCGGAAGCATAAGTAAAATTGGGCAATTGGAATGTTGGATCTCCGTACTTCGCAATGCAGAGGCTAGTAGTTCCAAAAATCCAACAACAATTAAATGCCACTTGCGCGCCGCAAGTATGCAGCGCGGACTGGATAGGGTTTAGGGATATCACTACCCCATGAATGGAGAATGGAATATAATGGAATATAAACGGACATGGAAGATGGAATGGAAGCTGTGTTTATGTAGGTGTTTTTAATGGATTTTGTGGGCAAGTTAGTGTCCCATGTTCTAAACATGCAGTTCGAGGCTGTGCAGGAGGAGTAGCATGACAGCCTGACAGAGATCAGCAACGAGGCAATTCCCTTAATGCCTTGGAGGTTGGCGCTACGGTGGTGGCACGCGTGGTGCGCCTATCGCAGGATCGTGCAGATTGTGTTGCTGGCGCGGATTTGATTTCATAGTTGCCAACGATGGGTTCAGTATGAGTCCATGATCCAGAAGACAAGTCAGATTCAAGACTCCGGGAGTGCCCACCATGTGGATTCCAGCTTCAGGATCTTCAGGCCCGAGATCTTGGCGTGTGAGTTCACTCGGTGAGTTGAGCATTGGAGTGGGTCCTTGTTGAGGCTCCTGATGCAACGAGCATTTAAGATTCCTCGACGGCAGAGCTTCTGAATGACAGGTATCATCGTAGCTGTGGGTGAGACTCCGCTCAGTGAAAAGGCCTTGGATTTGCATGCTGTATGGAGGGCTAGAAGATTACTGGTTCCAACGTAACTGCAGCATGGATGTGGTGTGACGCCTTGTGCCAGCGTGGTCTCAACATAGGATTGCCGCGCCGAGAGTGAATGACCTTGAGGCTTGCTGATGATGAAGCTCCAGCGTCAACTACGCAAGGTGTTTAAAAGCATCAGACGTTATATCAAGTTTGAACAGCAGAGCGCACTCGTTCCTTGATCGCCAGTTCCGCGGAGTGGTCCGCAAGCAGGATGTGCGCTTCTTCGAGGCAGATCCAGGGTTTTAGGGTTTCGAACGGCTGCACCAGACTGTTTGCTACTTGTTGGCTCCTAACAAATGGAGCCCTGGCAACGTACGGGGCCTCTCAGATATTCTGAGGACAGGAGTTTTTTTCTGGGGGCAAACGTATTAGTCATGTCACTTTTACTACCTCTATTCATGTTACAACTGCTGTTTTATCATATTAA